AAGAGATCGATTTTAGTGAAGGATGCGCTGGTGTAGCGTTTTTTGCTAGCCTTTCAGGGGTGACCACAGGAAGTGGGGCGCGAGGGTCAGACTTGAACGCTACGAAGATGAACAATGGCCTCTTGAGAACTCAATTGTGATGTTGTGTTAAGAATTATGAACTCCACGATTGTACGCCTGATATCTTGAAATCTGGCCCGTTTTGGCCAGATGTATCTCGGAAGTTCATACATTATTCAATAGATTTGTGTGTACAGCCTTTAATTTTTACAGTGATTTTTCAGTGGCCATTTCGCTCAAACGCGATGCTACGTGTTTGTAATTTTAAAAGAAACTTCGATGAGAAGGTCTATTTTACTGACAAGATCCTTACATTTTTAAGTAACACCTGTGAATTCTGAGTGATGAACAGGCTTCATGTGATCACGTACACGACTCATACTCATCTTGCATCGCCAAATAAGGGATCTGAAAATATGCAGACTCAACGTGGATACCTGCTAGTGCATGGGGATGCAAGTAGGTTTAGCAAATATATCCGCCGTGGTTTTTATTGCAGTTTGGAAAGCTTTTCAAACATCGACTTATATCTTTACCTGCGCGCTGAACGCATCATTACGTTCCATGTTGCGCGCTATGTTCGAGTGTTCGGTCAACATTTCAAGGTCAACGTAACAATATCATCACTGCCATATTCTGAAGCGCGTGTTGCCTTCTACGTGGCTATTAAGTTGACTTTAACACATTTAATTTCAATATTTTATAGTTTAACTGAGATTACCCAGTGCTTGTTAGATGATGTTTGCAATATAGAATTGAATTCGTGTACATACATATTTTGACATGGCGAATAATCGTTGCAGTTCCCAACATAAGTTAAGTAAATAATCTGTCTATTCGGGCAGTTTACATGTTGTGCATATAAAAAATTGTCTGAAATAATTTTATATATCATTTGCATGCATATACTATCCCGGACGCTGCGTGTAGGCTTGCACTCATGCAAGTCGAGATATGCATTATCTGTCACGTGTTATCGCGCATACAGAGAACGTGTGCATACTGAGAACGCTATGTGTCACGTTATACAGAGAATGCGTACGAGCGCGTGCGAGAGGTCACGACGCTACGCATAAGGCATAAGCACCACGCCCGCTCTCCGGGCCAGCAGGCAGCTCGGCCTGCCTCGTGGCTGGCAGTTCTGACAAGGTCGAGGCGAGCGTTAACGGCCCAGGTCGCGGCTACGGCCTTTGCTTCCTGTTGAGCCCGACGCCAGGCAGACGTTCATAATATAGGCCACATTTTTAGGGAAATTTTTTTATGGGCAATTCCATTGACCAAAACGACCAGAACACGGACACTACGTTCTTAAACGTGGGTTATATGTATAAATAAATAAGTTAGGTAAGAGAAAAAGTCAATGCATTGAATTTTTTCCAAAGTTTTACTGTCGCTCGTCAATAATTGAGAATGTGTTTGACAAATACAATCCACTGCACAATTATGTCCGAAACAGGACTGAAACATTGACTGTATGTTATAGAAGACGGAGCATTGGGAATTCTGTGGAGTTTTTACTCCATGTCTTAAGATAAGCGAAAAATGTTAGTGCAGCCTGCGGTGATGCGCATGGATACGTACAACATGAGCATTGATGTTCCCACTGTGACGTGGATAAGTACCTCTTGTGCGTTGATGTCGTGAGCGTTTGCGACGCTGGTTATTTAGACTGTTGAGGAATCTCGATAGCAAATATGTCCGTATCTTGGTGTAAAATACGACGTGTTACCAATTACGCTAACAACTCAGACTCATGCGACTTTCGCCTGTAAAATCTCAACCGAACAAACAACCCTTATTAACGCATTTTCTCATTTATGGAAAAAAGGCGGTATTGTGCTCGTCATATCCGTCCGTCCGTGACTTCACGTTTTTGTCGAGAAAATGCGCTCTCTGTCACTCACTGCAGTGAGTACTGTGTACTGAGTTAGATTTTTTGTATTCTCCAAACAACCCAGGTTATCCGATGATTTTGTAAGAGCCTCGAATTTGCCTACCATTACAAATGTTCTTGTCTCACGCTCATTTCGCATCATCAATCAGCTGATGCTGTAAATTCTGAAAAGTGATTTGTTATTTAATCACGTTTGAGCTTGTAACCTTGTTTTTCTGACTGCTTTGACAGAAACCTTGAGGAATATTTTAAATGAAAGCTCACGGTCTCAGACCAACTTCAAACCTCGTTTAAGTGAAGGTATGGTGCATGTATGGACAATTTATTCATGCCACTAAAAAGATGGTGATTTTTGCGGTAATTTTGTTGCAAAGATGTAAATTTTTGTCTGTTCTAATTCGCACATTAGTATCATAGATCCAACTCTGATTAATAAACGAGGCTATCATGCAATACGTAACTATTCATTGGAATAATGGTGTTTGTGTGACTTGACCGTTGAACACTCTAGTCAAACAGCCAAGAATAAACATGATTCATAATTCTTTTTATTGATGTTTTAGAATTTGAAAGAAAATACACATGTATGCTGCACGAATTTCTAAAGTGTATCAACTTTGTGATGCTTATGAGTATTAGTACTTTAATAAATGGTAGATGACGGCCATTAAGACAACATTTTAAGTAGTCCAGGTTGGGGATGAGGCAATTGAGTCAAATTTATAACCTATTCAATATAATTTTTATATGTGTTAGTAACCGGATAATGAAAATTAACGATTCATATATTTCGTTGAATGTATGGGATAGAAATTGCTTGTAGTGGGAATGTTTTCATTTTGTTAGTTATTTTTGTGGTTCGGTGAGCACGGCAGGTAAAATAAAGTGCAACAACATGCGTGGACATACGGCGAGGGTAGACTAGGTCCCTATAGCCTCGTTGTAGAGAAATAAAAATCATGATTTTGTTTGAATATCAAGTGTAATGCTGCTGTTATGGGTGCACTATTCTATTGAATATTTTTAAAGTATCTGTAGGTGAGTTATTTAAAATTTCTAGATTTGAATAATTGATTTTGGAGGTCAGTTACAGTACGTCTTTCCACTCTATGACGTTACTTTTATTGCCGGTCTTTTACTGTTCGGTCATCTTCACCATATTTGTGAAACGTTGTGGGAGTGTTGGCTTGAAGCCTAGTATCACGGATATCATTTCAATTTATATGCTTCCTAAGGACCAGATATCTTAGCTATGGGCTCGCAAGGGTGTTTTAGATTGGTCTGCAAGTTACAATATGATTTTACTCGACACGTCGTTCGTATAAACTTCTTTTCCCACCGTACGCCGGGTTGAACTTGAACTGATACCTGATCAATTACCTTAATAAACTTGGGGCTAACATGCCTTGTCATCGAGCCAGGTTAACCTGCTACTCATCACCCATAGCCTACCGTGCATGTGACGTCGAATTGACCTACAAATTTTTATAATAAACTTCCATTGCAATATACTCTAAATTTTTTACCACATAAAAACGCGGTGCTCCAAACTCGACTAGCTATGTGACGTAAGAAAAACCAGCTCCACTCCATCCTGAGATCGTTTTAAGTTTTCGTAAACCATTATGCAAGTCTAGAGAGCATGGGTGGCTTATATGTTTTAGCACGAGTGCATTGCATTTTTATTAGGCATGACAAATTATTGAGCCTGCCAGGGTGCCGTGCAAATTATTATTTTCAAACGTCAACGACGACAGCGGCCTCCGTCATTTTGGCGCACTCCTTCACGCCTGCGCTGCGCTGCAATATGCTTGTCTGCTTAATTCGATTCGCTTGTTTGTGCTTCCGCTGAGTAGCGAAAAATTGTGGAAAAAGAGGTCGTTTTTTGTTTTGTTTTTGTTTTGTCTTTTATTTTCGTCGTTTTATATCCGTAAAGGGAGACATTCAATTCGGACGATGGCTGTTCCTGGCTTGATGAGAGGTTACAGAAGGTGATAGTACTTAGTTTTTATTATTCTATGCCCAGATATATGACAGGGGGATTTCTCACTAGTTAGTTCCGCCTGGCGGGGATAGAGCTTTACTAACCGGAAAAGCACTTACAGTTCTTATGTTTTTGCATTATAGGTAGTTTCAGTGATGATAAAATTGTCATTATTATGCTAGGTACGACATTTCATTTATTTTTTTAGTCACTCTTGTAAAAGATTCGCGCTTTAATGTTTCAGCGAGTGAAACTTCAGCTCCAAAGTGAAAACCATCGTCCAATCGTCAGCCTAACTGCAACTTACATCTAAAAATATTCTACGATACACAAAAATTTAACTTTGCTAGTGTCCTTGTTTATTTGAATATGATTATTTGAAAGACTCGCATTTGAATCTACACGTCGAACTTTTTTATAATTGACCTTCAATTAACGCTTCCGTCGCCTTGTGCATGCGTTTAATGTCACAGTATCTAATTGCTGTTGCGATAGCCCTCTGCATGTGTTTAATGTTACATTGGCTAATTAACGTTTGCATCGCTCTCTGCATGTGTTTCATCCATAACTCTCCATTTCAAGTTTGAATTTCTCTCTAATGTTTTTTCTCTTCACATTCTCTAATTATCGTTTCCATCGCCGTTTGCGTCTTTTAATGATTTTCAATGTCCGACCTTAAGTGATTAATGCCACGCTCTAGACCAGCAGCACTCAACTATAGCCTGTATTAATGCTTGGGTCGTGCGTTCCCACACAACTCAGGCATGAGAAACATCCCACGAAGAATTTTAGTGCGCGCTTGACCTTCATTTCATGGACACCGGCAGCATCCTTCCAGAATTTGCGAGATATTTGTTCATCACTGGCCTTGAAATCCGGTTGGAATGCGCTATTAATATATTATATTATATTATATTATATTATTATTAATTTATATAATTCATAATTTATGATATATTTGAAACTTGTGATATATGACTATTTACTTATTATGTTTTATTATTACTAATTTATTTAATATATAACTGTTTATATATTGAAACACGTGCTATATAACTGGCAGCGCACGAGAGCTACCGCCAGGACACCGCGCTCGTCATCGCCGCGCGCAAAGGATTCCTGGACATGACAGAGCAGCTGTGTGAGGCGGGGGCCGATATACAGGTGGGTCAGGGTGACACACTTTTGCTTTACTATGATGCAGGGGCCGATATACAGGCTGTCTCTTATACACATCTAGATGTGTATAAGAGACCACCTCACCATCATTCCGTACACGGCACATCACCAACACCTCACCATCATTCCGTACACGGCACATCACCAACACCTCACCATCATTCCCTACAAGGCACATCACCAACACCTCACCATCATTCCCTACAAGGCACATCACCAACACCTCACCATCATTCCGTACACGGCACATCACCAACACCTCACCATCATTCCCTACAAGGCACATCACCAACACCTCATCATCATTCCGTACACGGCACATCACCAACACCTCACCATCATACATTATTTGCCTTATTATTGCGCCTTCATTTATTTCTGTTTGTATAATTTTCGATCGCTGTTTGACAATTAAAACGTATAATTATTCAAATGTATATCCATTATGGTTTATACATATTACATACGAAGCGTTTCAGCTTAAAATATTCTCTAGCGCATTTCCGAATAAATTCACTTTCATATGAATTATCTTTTGTGTCAAATAATATGAATAAAATAATTTCATTTTTCATTTCACGATGAAATGAAAGTTTCTACAACTTACGTAAACGAAGGTGTATTATTCAAACATTTTACAGTAGGACTGTAATCGCAATTTTTCACATGTACGCTTCACGTAATCTTTCTGTTTAGACCTTCAGTCATCCGACCGAAGTTTACCTGGAGACAAATTGTCATTCGTAGTCAAACCTCTTTAGTGGCGAAATACTTCGGTGAGTTTAGTGCTGCAATTTATTAGTCTTTCATTATTGATTCTGATATGATACATTTTTTTTGGTTACCTTTGATATAATTTTGCTTATATTTGTTTATCTTGTGTATTATGATAGTTAATATTTCTGATTTCATTCTTACAGAAACTATGTTTTCAAGACTACCCAAATAAAACTCTTGAAACCTGAGTATCGAAATTTCGCCTAAGCCACTAGGGCTTAATAAGGACAGAACCGATTAATTTATGGCTGAGTATATATATTAAGCATGCAGTCGAACTTGGCTGATAAATAGAAAGGGAAAAAAATTTCAACTATAGTGGGGAGAAAATAAATTTCATACACGAAGTAATTGAATTTTGACATTACTGAAGAAACAGTCAAAAAAGTGCCAGTGTGTGTAAAATGCTAATAAGATAGCATAATAAGAAGAACAATTGTGTTAAAATATAATAGAAGTGCATCTATATTAACACGAACACTGTACTGTTTTAACACTGAGCGTTGCTGTCACCACAAAAATATTTCAACAGGTTATAGAATTATTTCTTGAATTTCCAGCCCCGAGTTTCTCTATATCTGTTCCTTGTTCAGCAGCGGTAGCGTAAAAATAATCAATATTACCGGCCAATAATTTAGTTACAGTTCACGGTAATTTAGTTACAGCTCACGGTAATTTGGTTACTGCTCACGGTAATTTACAATGTTTCTATCTGCGGAACACGACACAACAGAGGTAACAGCCCCAGGCCGCGCTGCCTCCAAGAAATGAGCACAAAACGCTTCTTGGAATTTGGTGTAAAAACATGCATGCTTCGGCACACGCATGCCATAGACATGGCAATGTTATGCAGGGCATGAAATATGCGTTAAAAGGGAGGGGCAATATTATACTATTACATTTTTATTATTACTGGTATGATTATTATTATCATTAGAATTATTTTAGGATACAAAAAAATAATATTTATTGTAAAATTGGATTATTCGAGTTTCGATTGCTTGACAGAATAAATTTAGAGAGTCTTTAACAAAAAAGACACAGACAGAGTCTCGTTTTAAAGACAGAGTTTAAAACCAGATCGAAAAGTATTATGTAAGAATTATATATAAATTGATTAATTAAAGTATATTGATACGTACATGGCACGTTTAGTCCTGCATTTATCCTGTTAATATCCTGTTAAAATACTGTTAAAAATTATATATTTTATATGAGAAATTAAGACTTAGCCATTTTTCACATAAACTCTATCAGCCGTTTCACTTTTATTCTAAGAATGATGTGCATGAAAATAAATCCATTCACATTCATACAGATTGAATTTATGATATCTGCGCGAAACTGTTCCATTGATTTCTAAACACATTTTGTTATGATAAAAGAATCTTCAATAAATTTTTTTCTAATTATGAGTTTGGAATATAAAATTTGTAATAAAAGGTTTTTAGTAACGAATTTTTAATTAGAATAGAAGTGTGGGCACTGAAGAAATAGGCCCATGGCCTGTTGTTTTAATTACAAATTACAAAGTTTTAAGCAAGAATTTCTTTAAAAGCATAATTTTTAACGACCTTAGATTATGAATGAACATTACTCCAATGTGTTTTCTTAGATGGGAAATACTTGACTTATACACGATGTATTTCGGGTAGACTATTTCATTTCATTGTGACTGAAATTCCTTTAATAATACCTTGACAAAATCCGAATAGAACAGTGATTGTGAAATTGAATTTGAACCTTTAAAATACCTTGACAAAATGCGAGTAGGACAATGCTTGTGAAATTGAATTTGAAATTGTATAAATGTCGGCATTAATGACAATATAAACAATTATTTCATATATCAGAAACTTAGACGATCTCGAAATTATTGCCAGGCCTTCAACGTCCGCCAGGATTCCGCCCTCCACGTGGCCGCCAGCGGAGGACACGTGGATGTCCTCCTCTGCCTCCTGGACCACCGCGCCAACCTCATGGCCAGGAACAGGTGTGGCCATCTAGCGGACAACTGTGACTGTTAGCGTGATGCTGGTGTGGCCATCTAGCGGACAACTGTGACTGTTATTTACAAATAGTAATTCAATCTCCGTTTACTCACAGTTTTCACCGTATGATAGTTTAATTAACGACTTGTTATCGTTTGCCTGCACAATTATTAATAAATTCACTTATCATTTGTTTTTTTTTTATTTCAAATCTTCATCTAAGCATTAACTTATGTAATAATTAGTGGTTTTATTAATAATGTGAATTAGTTAGTGCTTTTATTTCAAATTAATTATTCATTTAAATTAGTTTTATTTCTAATTAATTAGATATTTAAATTGGTTTTATTTCTAATTAATAATTCTAATTAAGGTACGGCGCTACGCCGTGGGACGCGGCGCAGGAGAGCGGCACAGCAAACGCTAGGATCTGTGCTGACATCCTGTACACCCGTCACTGCCTGCTGCACGACGGGTGACTTTCTGTCTCTTATACACATCTAGATGTGTAGCTGGTGTGGCCATCTAGCGGACAACTGTGACTGTTAGCGTGACGCTGGTGTGGCCATCTAGCGGACAACTGTGACTGGGCATCGTAACGCTTTTGTTATTTTATATTTAATTATTAAGCCATTCTCAAGTTCAGTTATCCTCTAATTAACCCCGAACCACACTAGTTTAAATGATCGTATATGATTATTTTTATATTACAAATAGTAATTCAATCTCCGTTTACTCACAGTTTTCACCGTATGATAGTTTAATTAACGACTTGTTATCGTTTGCCTGCACAATTATTAATGAATTCACTTATCATTTGTTTTTTTTTTATTTCAAATCTTCATCTAAGCATTAACTTATTTAATAATTAGTTGTTTTATTAATAATGTGAATTAGTTAGTGCTTTTATTTCTAATTAATTATTCATTTAAATTAGTTTTATTTCTAATGAATTAGATATTTAAATTGGTTTTATTTCTAATTAATAATTCTAATTAAGGTACGGCGCTACGCCGTGGGACGCGGCGCAGGAGAGCGGCACAGCCAACGCTAGGATCTGTGCTGACATCCTGTACACCCGTCACTGCCTGCTGCACGACGGGTGACTTTACACCCGCCACTGCCTGCTGCACGACGGGTGACTTTACACCCGTCACTGCCTGCTGCACGACGGGTGACTTTACACCCGTCACTGCCTGCTGCACGACGGGTGACTTTACACCCGTCACTGCCTGCTGCACGACGGGTGACTTTACACCCGTCACTGCCTGCTGCACGACGGGTGACTTTACACCCGTCACTGCCTGCTGCACGACGGGTGACTTTACACCCGTCACTGCCTGCTGCACGACGGGTGACTTT